AAAAAAAAAAAAAAAATTTGATATAGTCCCATTTGTCTATTTTTGCTTTTGTTGCCTGTGCTTTTGGTATTTTATCCAAGAAATTGAGGGATAAGAAAAGGAAAAACCAGTTAAGTACACAGCTAAGGCTAGTCCTCGGAGAAGCAGCTGAAAAATCACAGCTACAAGCAAAATAGAGCAACCTGGGGAACTTGCACAGCGGGGAGGAGGGCTTACCTAAAACAAACCCGCAGTGATATAAACAAGAGAAGCCATGCTTTGTGCTTGTCTAGGGACTTACCCATAGCGGCAGAAGATAAGGGGAGTTGCACGGACAGCTTTACTCATAAGAGACTGCTCAAACAGCTATAGAGATGAGAGGAGTTTCTTGTAATAGCTTTTGAATTTTACTGTAAAAACGGCACCTCATTTGGGCTCCCCTCTACACTGTGGAGAGCTTTCTTCTTTTGCTTATTAAACTTTCGCTTCAACCTTACTCTTTGTGGCCACGCTCCTTAATTTTCTCAGTCATGAGACAATAAGCCCAGATAACACCTTAGACAACGAGATCATTGACCCTTACCTGTTTCAAAAGTTTTGTCAAATTTAAGGCAATGAAGCTTTTCCCCTCTGTTTTCTTTTTAGAATGTTATATTTTTAGATCTTTATTTGAAGTTATTTTTTGTATATGGTCCAAGGTGAGGGTCCACCTTCATTCTTTTGCTTGTGGATATCTAGTTTTCCCAACACCATTTGTTGAGGAGATTGTCCTTTTTCCATTGTGTGGTCTTGGCACTCTTTTGAAAGATTATTCAAACATTTATACAATGTTGCACATGATCAGCAACTTTGTGGGCTGGTGGTAGGAAGAATTTACCAAGATAGTTGTAGGTAAAGAAAAGCAAGTTATTAGAGAAAGTATGAAAATACATTGCAAGGGAGCAACAGGCAAGTCTGCAAGAGAGAAGCTGATGGCAGGAAACAAAGGCTTGCTGGGAATTTTGTAGAATGGTGCTTATGTTGTGTGCAAAAGAGGGCTTTGTGCAGTACTAATAATGCCAAGGTTGCAGTGAGCTAAATTCCATTTTTCTATCAGCTGAGGGTCTGGTGATAGCTAGGCACAGGAAGATTGTGAGTTATTTGCACAGGAGGGCTATGCGTCCTGGACCACGAAGAAAGGCAGACTTACGGCTTATCTGCTTTCTCCTTTTGCTTCCCTTCGTCCAGCCAGCCTGATTCCTTTTCCCTAATTAGGACCCCACATGCAAGGGTTTGTTCTTCCAGGATAGAGACAAGTCAATGTATCTATCTTTATACCAGTACTATAGCTGCTACTTCTTGATCAATTACAGCTTTAGTACCTCTCTCGCCTATCGTCACTATGCAAGAGATATATAAAAGATACCCAATCATAGTAGTACCCCCACTTCCTGGCAGCATTCAATCTGGAGCAAAGCCTGCTTCCTTAAACCCTTGCCAAAATCACCAAATGAAAGCCCCAAATCTGTATAGGATGTTCCCAACATCCTCGTTCTGAGATGCCCTGAAATTCTCCATTGCTCATGACTGAGTAATAAAAAAAACTTGTTTAACTAAAGGCGGGTTTCTGGTAGTCCTGGCTGGAGAGCATTGACTTAAAAAAAATATAGGATTAATATCTTCAAAATAAATAGAACAGTAAACATCAACAAGGATTCACACCCCGATAATGAAATTGGGCAGAAAAAGGAAAAATAGTCGTAAGATGCAAAGTACAAATGGTTTTATAATACTGAAAAAAATTTTACTTCAAATGCTTAGCATGATGCTTCTGATTCAGTTGGTGGGACCTTTATTTCACATTTGAATTCAGCTGCTCCCGATGTCCCTTTCCTGAAAATCTCAATACTGAAAGCTCAAGAAACCCTGTAGTTGGCGAAGTTTGTCCTTTACCATCAGCTTTTGGGGTGGGGGTCAGAAGAAACACGGGTGAAAAGGCAGCGCAGAACGAGGCTGAAGCTCCGCCCCTCGACAATAAGTCCATATTCCTGCGGCCGGCATGGTCCTCCGAGGGAGCCGCTGAGCAGCCGAGGCTGGCCGGTCCCAGGGGTAGGACGTTCTAGCACGAGCCTACTCGATGGTAGGGAATGGAGCGACTTGGTCTCCGGGCGCTGCCATGTTGGAGGCTCCGGGCCCGAGTCATGGCTGCGAGCTCCGCCACCCCAGCAGCGCCGTTAAAGCCAGCTGCGTCCGGCAGATGCTGGAAGTGCAGCCAGGACTGTATCTGGGTGGAGCCGCGGCCGTCGCGGAACCAAACCACTTGAGGGAAGCGGGCATCACGGCCGTGCTAACGGTGGACTCGGAGGAGCCCAGCTTCCAGGCGGGGCCTGGGGCCGAGGGTCTATGGCACCTCTTCGTGCCAGCGCTGGACAAACCCGAGACTGACCTGCTCAGCCATCTGGACCGGTGCGTGGCCTTCATCGGCCAGGCCCGCGCCGAGGGCCGTGGGGTGTTGGTGCACTGGTGAGTGGCCGGGTCAGTGGGCTACGTGCCCCGCCAGGTTTCCAGCCGGCCCCCGTCACCCCTTCCGAGGCCCTCAGGGGAGTACTAGGGCGTTGTCATTCCGAGTGAACCTCCTCCCGGTGCCTCCTGTAGGAGGCGGGTATCTAAGAAGGGTGGAGGCTGGAGGCGGGCCCCTGGTGTGTGTGCAGGCTTTCATGCAGTACCTGCAGCCACAAAGGGCCGGGTAGGCGTCATCTGGTAAATGACAAAATCCCTACACCCCAAGGATTTTACAGCTCTGTAAAAGAAGCTAGACACCCACCCCAATGATTGTAATGCAGATTAGGTTGCTTCCTGTCTGGTAAACGGGATTAACAAAGATTTAGGGTTAATGTTTTGGGATGGGTGGGGGATGGTTGATGAAGAGGTGAATTGGTTTGGATCTAAAGGATCCCTGGGCCTTGCCTAGGAAGGAGATGGTTGCTGAAAAGACAAAAAAAAAAAAAAAAAAGGGGGGGGGTGGTCGGGGAATCCCTGCCGGGCGCGGTGGCTCACGCCTGTAACCCCAGCACTTTGGGAGGCCGAGGCGAGTGGATCTCGAGATCAGGAGTTCGAGACCAGCCTGGCCAATATGGTGAAACCCTGTCTCTACTAAAAATACAAAAATTAGCCGGGCTTGGTGGTGCTCGCCTGTAGTCCCAGCTACTGAGGCAGGAGAACCACTTGAACCCGGGAGGCAGAGGTTGCAGTGAGCTGAGATCGTGCCACTGCACTCCAGCCTGGGTGACAGAGCCAGACTCCATTTCAAAAAAAAGAAAAGAGAAAAAATGGGAATCCCTAAGCAGTTCTTGGTTGGATTGGAGTGTAATAACAATAGTTTACATTTATTGCGCACATAAAGGACAGAAGACACTGATAGACTCGAAAGAAGTCGGACCAGATCTCGAGGTCCCAGAACGCTAAGATGAAAGGAGATTGGATTTGTTTTTGTTTTGTTTCATTTATTTTTATTTTGAGACATGGTCTTGCTCTCTTGCCCAGGCTGTAGTATAGTAGCGTAATTACGGCTCACTGCAGCGTCAACCTCCCAGGCTCAAGTGATCCACCTGCCTCTGCCTCCAGAGTAGTTGGGACTCGGACTACAGGCACATGCCACCACATCCGGCTAATTTTTTAATTTTTTTGTAGAGGCGGGGGTCTCCAATTCTTGGGCTCAAGCAGTCCTCTCACTTCGGCCTCCTAAAGTGCAGGGATTTCAGGCATAAGCCAATGCGCCTAGCCAGAAGTTTAGATTTGTTCTGAGCCCTTATGAAATTTTTTTAAATTACTGTTACTATTTTTGAATAGGTAATACATTCACATGGTTCAGAATTCAAAAGGAAAAAGGAATAATTCTTTTGTACCTTGATAATATTTCAGAGGCAATGGGTTTATTTAAGAAGTAGAGATGAAATGGACCTAAACTTTACTGTTAATAGGGGGCTGGGTTTTTTGTGTTTTTTTTTTTTTTTTTTTTTATTGTTGCTATTTTCTTTTTTTTTTTTATGTTTTTTTTTTCAGTCATGCAGGAGTCAGTCGAAGTGTGGCCATAGTAACTGCTTTTCTCATGAAGACTGACAAACTTCCCTTTGAAAAAGCCTATGAAAAGCTCCAGATTCTGAAACGAGAGGCTAAGTGGGTTCTTTTTTTATAGTAATAATTCTGCTTTTGTGATGTGATTTGAAAAAAATGAAACTATGTATTTCTTTGTCATTACAGGATGAATGAGGGGTTCGAATGGCAACTGAAATTATACCAGGCAATGGGATATGAAGTGGACACCTCTAGTGCAATTTATAAGCAATATCGTTTACAAAAGGTTACAGAGAAGTATCCAGGTAAGTAATAATTGCTAATGTGTAATAGGCTTTTTAGATGTCATTTACTTTGGCATTGCATGCATTACCTCACTTCCAGCAATCCCTGAGAAACTATTGTTTCTTTTTGAAACTGTGATTTAGCCCAAAATAACCTGTTCAAAATCACATGGTTTATAAATGGCAGGTTCGGGATTTGAACTCAGGCAGTCTCTGCCCAGAACCTAAGCACTTAAATCACTGTCCTCTGCTACTTTAGCCTGATTTGTCAACACTGGAATTTTATTTAATTTTATTTTTTAAATTTCTGAGGTTATCACTTGTTGCCTCAATTTGATTTTAACTGAATTTATGTGAAAATGCAGAGCTGATTTTGACAAATAAATGTATTTTAATTATGTCATATAGAATTGCAGAATTTACCTCAAGAACTCTTTGCTGTTGACCCAACCACCGTTTTACAAGGATTGAAAGATGAGGTTCTCTACAAGTGTAGAAAGTGCAGGTAAGGTCCAAGCAGCAGCTTCTCCGCTCCTTCTGGAATCTCTCCCTGGTTCAGCTCGCCTGCTTCCACTCCTGCCTCCACCATGTCCATCAGGGTGACCCAGAAGTCCTACAGGGTGTCCACCACTGGCCCCGGGGCCTTCAGCAGCCGCTCCTTCACGAGTGGGCCCAGTGCCCGCTCGAGCTCC